CCCCAATAAAAAATCCAATATAAAATTAAGGAGATGTGGTATCATTGCCAATGAGACAACTGTCAACTAGAATCCAATTGAAATGAATCAATTTTATTTGATTTAGATGTTTTGTTTTTGTAATGGTTGTCGTTTTCGTTTGTTGGTGTGTAAAAAGATTCCTTTAACGCGTGAAAAAGACCCCAAGTTTGAAAAAAAAGTGGATTGTTTTTGTATTTTTTTACTTTTTTGCTTTTGGATTTTGAATTAATGATCTTTTGAATGAGTGAAAAAGACCCGATATCTATTTTCTGCATTTTGTAACCGATCAGGATTTTCCATATATTTTTACCCGATCAGGGGGACACCCTCGACCGATTAAATCAATATGTTTTTTCCTAACAACACTTTTAAAAGTGCGCATACGTTTGAACGTAGTCTGATATCTAGTTCAAGGATAAACAAGTGTACAAGTACGAGCAGTCTTACCGAAAGAGACAAAATATATTTTTGTCTAAGATGTCTAAAAAAAAGCAAAAAATCATGATCACTTTGTAATAATATAATAAATCTTCATATTTTGTAGTAGTTGCTGAAAAAATATATTATTCATCATTTTACAAGCCTTATTTAAACAAAAGTTACAATTAGGTCATGTTAGGAATTGATCGTCAAGAAATTTGCAAAAGAAAGTCTAACTGGTCCAGTTTTTATGAAAGTTGATGTCCGGTCTTATTATCTTCCTCGCTACAACGTGTTTAAAAATACAAAGGATATGGGGTGTCCATCCATGACACAAAATCAGTAAACGCACAGCAAAAAAAAAACACACAAAAAGGAACAGCGCTTTTATTACTGTTCTTCATCTCAAAGTCAAAGTGAGGCTTTCAACACGCAGCAAAAAAAAAAAAACTCTCACCTCACTGCAAGTCCATTCCGAAGACATGACTTATATGCTCAGCGGATATGACGGAAAGATGTGCTTAATGTACAGATTTGTAAAATTCATGCCGCAGAACGATTGACCAATTATGTAAAAACCACAAAGATGTTTGTAATGGCAAACACATGACACAAATATATGCGCCTTGTGGGCCCTTAATTGGTAATAAAATATGTTCTGTTCTGTTCTGTTCTGTTCATAACACAGAAGACGCAGATAACTTGCTTCATAGAAAGGAAAAAGTTATCATTTGAAAATGAAAATCCAACATATTATAATGTAAATTTACTTTTAAATCTGACTGGGTGGCCATTGTGAATTATGATTAAACCAAAACAACACAATTTTGAAGAACCATCATATAACAAAGAAATAATACTTGCATGGCACTATCATCATCGGCTTAGTTTAACATGAGAAAGCATTTAATTTGTAAATATTTTGAAACCTAATGCCTGTCCATTTAAAAAAAAGAAAATCTAGAACTCTATTCATTCGAGGCGGACCTATAATCTAAGTTCGTATCAAGGGCAGCCATTTTGTTTGATAAAGCAAAAAAAATCAGCAAAAAACAACCATCTTACGATGTCAAAATTTATAATTATGAAAAAAAAAGACTTTCTTTTTAAAAAAGATTTTATTAAATTTCATGACGATCAACTCCCGCATAAAAGTCCAATTTGATCGTTCAAAATAAAAAGCTCAGACGTTTCAAATTGAATTTTAAGTCCATTTTTGTCGAGCCTGCGACTTTTGTCGCAAAAGCGAGACATAGCGATCCTACATTCCGTCGTCGGCGTCGGCGTCGTCGTCGTCGTCGGCGGCGGCGTCCACAAATATTCACTCTGTGGTTAAAGTTTTTAAAATTTTAATAACTTTCTTAAACTATCCTGGATTTCTACCAAACTTGGACAGAAGCTTGTTTATGATCAAAAGCTAGTATCTAGAAGGAAATTTTGTAAAAATTTATTTCCTGTTTTTCCGTATATTAGTTATAAATGGACTTAGTTTTTCTTCCAGTTAACATTACATACAGTCTGCAGTTAAAATTTTTAAAACATTTATTAGATTCATAAACCATTCCGGATTTTTACCAAACTTGGACAGAAGCTTCTAACAATCAAAAGATAGTATCTAGAGGAAAATTTTTAATAATTTTTTCCCCATTTTTGTTGAGCCTTCGACTTTTGTTGCAAAAGCGAGACATAGCGATCCTACATTCCGTCGTCATCTGAATTAAGGGATAAATCATCAAGCAATGTAAAAATTATCTTCTTTATCATTTGTTCATTCAATAAATTTAGGTTTCAACTCTTTTATAAATCTATAGATTTGATTGCATACTGTATTCATTTTTTACAAGCATAACTTGTTTCATACATTTCAAACGTTTTATTTCATTACAGCTCTTCTATAAAAGCATGCAAAGCAAACCTTTGATCAACTTGCTTGCTATGTTTGCTTGGATGATTGCAAACAATAGGTAGGCAGAGTTTCAGTCTGTTTTGTATATACTGGAATTTGATTGGACAATAAAAATTAACTTCATTGCATGTCAATTTTTATTAATCAAATCCCAGTATATATAAAACAGACTGAAACTCCGCCTATCTATTGTTTACAAACATCCAAGCAAACATAGCAAGCAAGTTGATCAAAGGTTTGCTCTTCATGCTTTTATAGAAGAGCTGTAACTGTAAATCTATTATGTGCATTCCCCTATCACACTGAAAACTGAAAACAGCAAAAGTAGGCGAGACACTGGGTTCCGCGGAACCCTTACGAATTTTTCTCTTCCTGTTATTGCCCATTATTCTCTTTTCTGTATATTTTAACCCCCAATTATTCTCTGTTCTTTATTTGTTTGTACATTATCACAGGCAGTTGTCTTTTAAAAAAACCTTACCTATATACTTAAATTAAAAAAATGCCTTGTGTCTAATTTATTTTTTTTCTGCAAACCCCAACCGGACTCTCACATATTACTGTCAAATTGTGTAAGGGAGCTACCATTTGATTTTTATGGCGGGGGGGGGGGGGGGGGGGGGGGGGGGGGGGGGGCGGGGGAGCTAGGATGAAATTTGAAAAAAAGGCAGGACAGGATTACAACTAAAAGAAAATACAGGACACAAATTTTTTCATCCTAGCCCCCCTCCCATAAAAATCAAATGGTAGCTCCCTAACAACCAAAAGGACAAGTCTTCAGAACCAAATGCGGATCAAGGATTTTGAAAGGGGGCAAATTGGCAACATTAGGAGTGGGACAAATAAAAAAATATATGCATTAACCACATATGTCATATATGTAGTTCCATAAGGGGGCCGGGCCCCCGGACCTCCTTTAAATCCGCCTCTGAGAACTTTATGCATTTAAGTTAAGATTTGAGTAAAATTACATGTGGATTTCCTTGAACACTTGCCGCGTTCTAGAAGCAGTGGGGTCTTAACGTTTTGGCAAGTTTTATTCAGTACGTAAAAATCGATGAAACTAAGCTGACTGAGCGTTCCTCGCCCCTCCTCTCGCATTCAAAATTTCTTGACCCGCGTCTGTTGATTCCAACAGCACCACAAATAACGACAAAGGTAAAATTAAAAGTGGTACAGTCTGGACATACCGGTCTGGCATTATTATCTTTCACGGCGTAAAAAAGAAAAGAATCCAAGGGGGTCATAAAAATATAGGTCGAAAAAGGACAAACAGCTCTTTGATATTCAAAAAAGACAACAGACATACAGGAGGGGGCGGACAGGGGTAAGGGAACATGGGAATGAGGGGTGGGAAGCGGGAGTCAGGGGAGGGGAGTCAGGGGGCGGGAACGGGGCTGAGAGAGGAAGTAAAAATTGGGATATTCTGGGGAAATATTTTTTGACCGATTTTCGTCTGAGAGTAAGAGGGGGGAGTGGGAGTTAGGGGAGGGAAGTGGGTTGGGGCAGGGAAGTGGGAATCAACGACCCCCCTGTCCATCCGCTCATACAGGAGTCCAGAAATGTGAACACAACACAAAAACTACCGATATAAAACTCGAACCGACCCCCCCCCCCCCCCCCCCCAATAAATAGAAAAAATACTATAAAAAAAAAAATCTCGGAAACACGAGGTGAAGCAATCTCTGCTCCACTGACGACATCCGTCAGGTTGCTACTGGCAAGGAGTCGCAAACGGTTGTTATTCGCGAGGGCATATGCATTTATATTCTTCTTCATAAACTCGGTCATTGAGAAAAAAGAAAAATACTGATCAGAAGAGTATAAACAAAAGAGAAAACAGAATTATTTTTGTAAATTCAGTGTATTTGTTCGGGTTACATATGCTTGTTTACCCGGATACCCGTAAGAAGTACATTAAATATATTGTTTACATAACAGTAGCAATTGACGTAGACCTCATGAATATGAATGAAGGTAAATTAGGTCAATATCGAAGGAGTCCGTCATTGCAGTTGTGTTTATTTTGTCTTGATCATTTGCTAAAAATTCGTGATATAAGGATATTTATTAAAAATAATTGTGATGCCTGCTAACCAGGAAAAATTATCTAAATATGAAAAGGTAAGAAATTATTTCATTTTATGTTTTTGTGATTCTCCGTTTTACAAAACAAGCCGTGAAAACAATACACAACGACGAAAGAGGTCAATAATGTACGTCTGGCTTGAAAACAAGAATGAGGAATCTAACCTAAATGCAGCTAAAGTTAAAAGAAGCATTACCTACAGTGCCGATATAGATCAATATACATTTTTATATATTTTTTGTAAAAAGAATTATATTTGAAATGATATATTAAAAGTATGCATTGGGTCAGACTTTAAATTTGCCAGTCTGTAAATGGAACGTCAATTTTATTAAAGCGATTGTTGACCACTTAATAATGTCCTTCATAATTTATAAACAATAATTATCAGCTTTCGTAAGCCTTGCAGACAACAGGTGCTCTTTATCAATTAAATGTGGACTTTGTGTTTCGATTGTAAACTTTTTGTTGACAATGTATTTAAAATATTTGACATTGACAATATGATCGTCTAACAGTTTAAAGAGCTCGAAATTGACAATTTTTATTTTGTTTCTAAATTTGCAAAAGACTTGATACAAACGTATTTGTTAAAAGATACTTTCTACATAAGGGAAATTTTTAGACAAATCTGCGTTCTAGCCAACAACAGTATCTACATTTCCATTGGCTTAGATGTGCTGTGTGTCGGCACACACCTACTTTTCTGCCAAGGGTTCAAGGTCGTATTCATTTAGATTACAAAAACGTCTAAAACTTTCTCTCCCAACTATCATTTGCATCCGAGCTGTGAACATCACCAGTTGCACACTTTTAGAAATGAACAACATTCTTAAAAATCCGTTGGGAAGCAACATGAAGGATGCTCAAGTAGAGGAGGTAAAGATTTTGCATGAAAAAAGGGGGGGGGGCGAATATTTTGATCTCATATTCTATAAACAGGCAAATTTGATTAAAAAAAAGTAAGTGATTAAACTAACAAATTGCAGAGTTTCTTCTCTGTTTTGAATGATGTTTAAGAAATAGAAGGAACAAATTCTAACTACAGTTCATGATTTTTTTTTTATTAACAATAGTATATATTTATAAATATATATACTTTAATATAGCTTCATCCTTTATATCTCTGTAATATTGGCCAATGGACATTGCAAACTTCAACCACAAATTTCGTAGTTAAATAAATAATCTTGAACTCCATCCAAACTTTTGAATTATTTACAAGGCAGCAAAATTCATGTACAATGAGCTGCAAAAGAGTCTTATCTGCATCTGATTTCACCTGGATAGATGCACGCTCGATGAAGCTAAATATTGCTATTGCGTTTATTTTTTATCGCATTGTAAATAATTTTAACATTGTAATATTTAAATACTAAATTAAAGTGTGTTAAAATAACATTGTTAGGCAATTTATACTTTAATATAGCTATGCATTTTGTCATGATTGCCATGGAATAGAAGTAATCCTTCGTAATTTTGGTTCTAAATGGAAAAAATATTCTAGGATATTATATCTAATGCAAGAAATAATACAGCATTTGTTCCTAATGGTGTAAATGGTATACAATATAATATTATATTTGTTCAAACAATAATAGATAGTATAGCATTGTTTATAACAAAGTTTCCAGAGGAACTTCTTTTTACAGGAACAAATATGTTGACAATATAATGTGCATCATTTGAAATTGTCCAGTAAAAAGTAATTACAGAAATTAGCAAACAAAAGTATGTGAAGGAAACACTAAATTTAAATGAATAAGCTTTAGATTTTTTAAATGTAGAAGTGAGCAACTAATTATAATTTGAAAGCATGATTCTGAAAAGATATGGAGACTAAATTTTGACAAAAAAGGTAATAAAGTGAAATTCAATTTGGGACATTTGCACAAAAAAATTAATAATAAAAAAAAAATAAAAAAGTCAACAAATATTAATTTCATTCATTTCCACTGATTTAAAAAATAAGTTTTAAATATAAGAAAAAAAATCAGAATACATTTTTTGATAGTGTAAATGACAATTGTGGTTTTTGAGATGTTTAAAAGCCAGTATGAATGTGTACCTATGTTATTGTTTTTTTACTTGTTTTAGGGTTTGAATACATGTCCAAATGTAAAATAAGGCTTCATAGAGTTTTGAATAGCTGGACTGTACTAACTGGGCAGTCTGAATTTTTTTTTCATAAGAAACTCATTTTAGAATTTCATTAATAATTGTGAAGTTAGTTTGACTGAGTCAGTGTTTTAATAAAATTGTGCACTTGATAAGAACATTTATTATTATGAAATATGTTGATTGATGGCTCAGCTTAATTAAAGTCCAGTTGCAAATATTACATGCATATTTAGGGTGACAACATGTTAATGAGATATAAATATATCCTGGTTTATACTTTATTGTCAGACATGCTGACTAAGCCGCTGACTAAGCCGCTGACTTGCATTTTTAAAGTAATAGCTCAAAAGTAACAGTCTCAGATAATGTTCAGGAAGACATGTCATCATTGCTTTGGTCTTCCAACTGTCATGACTGTTTTGTCTCCAGCTCCATTGAATACCATTTAACTTTACCTGCCTTTTGTTGATGGCATTCATATTTTGGGGATGTCATTAATATCTGTAATCTGTTGATTAATTAGAATAGAAACAATCCATCCAAATTCTCAGGAATCTTCATCCCTTTTCCTAGATCTCAAGACACAAATTCAATTCTTAAAATATATAAAATATGTGTAATTTCAGAGGTATATTAAAACATGTAATTCAAAATAACTATAAAAACAGGCACGGAAATTATGTGTTTGCATTTATGCTGAAAGATAATGAGATACACGAATACCCAAGTGATACATATCAAAGATTTTTTTTACAGTGAATGTTGATGATCAACATGATCAAAGCAGTTAAATTTTGTGTTATTTTATCCATGTGCATTTTTCACATGGTCAGTTTTGAAGGCACTATGCAAATGTTTTTGGTTTTCTACAAGACATGGACAGCCAGAATGTACATTTTGTATTAATGCTTTAATCTTCATGTAGTCAATGATTTGAAATCTTTGGTGCCATACAAAGTCATGTCCTTTGACATAACACAAGCTGGGCAGCAATTTTTGTTTGAAGAATAAAGAAATGTATTGACCACAAATAAAACCTATCAATTGTTATCAATTTGAGCCGGCATATGATTTGTATCATCTCTGACTAGCTACATGTAACCCTCATAATATTCAGTGAAATTGGATACTCTGAAATTAGTATAGAAGCTTGTGTACTAAGTTTTCTCATTCTTTTCTATAATCATTTTAATTTTTTTAAGAAAAGGGTGTTTTGAGTAGGAGAGATAATTCCCACCAAAACCAAGAAATATTAAAGAATACCTGGAAAAAAATGCCTGGTTCGTTAAGAAAGGTTTTGAAGTTCAATACTGATAGAAGATTTAATTGCAGTTTAAATGTTTTAAAATTCAATTCTCTAAATATTTATTGATACTAAGGCATTGATCATTGTAATGAATTCAATTTATCTTAGTATTAAATCATTTATGCACTGCCAAGTAATATTTACTATGTAAATAATTCTTTTATCATGATTATTCTTATACAATTAAATTCAGGCTTAAAACTAATGTATGTTAGGAAACATTGATTCAGGGATAATTTGACAATTTTTATGCTCCTGCAGCAGCAGAGGGGGCATTTTGTGTTACCTTTGCTATGCGTATGTCCCAAAATTAGTTTCCATTCTCTAACTTTAGTTTGCCTAAACATAATGTTATGAAACTCATACAAAATGCTTATTACCACAAAACACAGATCAATGTTGAATTTGGGTGGTGTCACTTATACCGTTCTGGAGTTATGTCCCTTTATAACGTTATTTGGTTGGCATCATCTGTGTCCATTCTCCATCTATTTTCATAAAACTTTTGAAAAGTTATTGAAAAAATCATCAAAAATTGAAAAAAGTGCATAATAGACCAGAATATCAGTACTAAAGATGGTTTACATATTTTGGCTGAAATAATACTATAAGGTTACATTTTCCCATTGCCATGGCTGTATTTTAGCTCAGCTGATATTGTTCAATAAACTTCTTGAATTTTAAGCCTCACATGTAAGACAACCTTGTATACCTGAATATTAACCATTTCTTCAATATGATGTATCTAATTGTAACATTTATGTTTAAAAAAGATGAAAATTACTTGTAAATTTCTGCATTCCATCTTTTTTTAATATGAAGCTGTTAAAAATAGATGAGTTATCATATCTTTGTGATGGAAAATGAAAAAAAGAAATTTCTTATTGATTATTTACAGATACATCCTATATGAACTAGATTAAATGAATGGCTGGAAATTTGAGGCTATGTGGGTTAATGCCCTGCTGAAAACATTTCATTCAGCTTGACCTAAATTACATGGTTGAATGACTCATAATTTTGCTGTATAAATTCTTTTCTGAGGAACTTTTAAGGATACCATTGATATTAGAATACAAAACTAGGCAACAATAGGAGTAGAACATGATGTAAAGACTATAAATTAACTCTATATGTAGCTCCATTAAGAGGGGGACCCCTAAATCCACCTCTGGAATAGGAGAATTTGTTATAAAAAGTTACAATAAAAATGGTTATTCATATAAAATCTCAAAAAGATATTTTATATGAATTTATAGGGTTAAATATACTTAACATGAATTTACATATTAATTACACCTTATATAAGAAAGCCAGATTTTGATTGGTTGATAGCCAGTGTATTTTTCGCATATTCTAATATTTTATCCTCATTTCAAACGAATTTGCCTGTTTTTCACCACTGCCGGTGAATTTGCCTCAAAAACCATGGTATTTGCCATTTTGGATATTCCTTTTTTACCCTCTCAAGCATTTTCCTGCCAAAATTTTTTACCATTCTCTTTTTTAACCCCATTTGATTATCTTGCTTAAATAGTGTATACTATCTGTAATTGACTGCCTTTTCAAATTTTTTTAGTGTGAGTGTTTTTGATGAACATTTTATCCGAGTGTTTCAAATGCAGTAAACTGGGTATGATTGAATATGATCCATTTATTTTAAATCTGAAAAGTAATTTTTCTTGACAGTATGAAACTACAAAAAGATGGTAATTCAATTCTGCTGCAAATATTCTAAATTAATGTTAAAGGTCAATATATTAAATCCTTTCTGAATATTCACATGAATTTTGTCTTCTTATTTTTGTTGGAAATAGTTGGAGTGTAAAAGTTTGTTATTAATGGGACATTTACCCCATGATTTTAATTTATCTATTTAGAATCAACCTTATATTTGGACTTTGGCACTGTGTTGCATCATGTTGTTTACCCAAAGATAATACCACTGACATTTGTTTTTCTTCACAGATATTTCTGTGTTGTCAGAAAGGAATTCATGATATGTTCTATAAATATATCCAGTACTGTCTCACCCACCTACTTATTATGTAATTATTTGGCTTATTATTGTGTTATTTATTGAAATTACATTAGATTCATGTACCTGTTAGTAAATGAATCTTGGAAAATGAAGAAATGATTTAATATACCATGGTTGTTTAATCTCAGGTTTATAATATTACCAAGTATAGGTTCTTGAGATATTTGGGAGGCTTCAAATAACTTTTGTCTCCCCTCAATGAAGTCACAGAGGAGCGGCAGCTTATCAACAATTTGTGAATGCTGAGTTGAAGGGGAATAACTAATGATAAATCAATGATATTTGGTATGCAGTTGTATTAGCATTGGCACATTTCCATTGAGATTATTTGACTCAGACACTGTTATGGTCAATAGACTTTGAGGGGTCTCGATGAGTGGTCTAAGTAGTTTGACTACTGTATCACTAGCCTGTCAACACTGAGGTGAGTTTGAGTCTTGCAGGCAGCAGGTGCATTAGAATCCAATGTTAATTGACTATGATTGACAGTTTTCCTACATAAGGTCGTTGTTCTCTCCTGGCACTCTTGCTTTCTCCACCAATAAAAACTAGCCACCACAAAATAGCCAACAGTGCTGAAAGTGCCGTTAAACACCAATCAATCAATCCGTCAATCAAGGTCATAACATTACCAAGTATAGGCTCTTGAGATATTTTGGAGGCTGCGACAAAGTCATGGAGGCGATACTTAAGCATTGCAACAACATCAACAATTTGTTCATGCCTGTGATTAGGTGACATGAAGGGGAACTAATGATAAGTCAATGATAATTGATATGCAGTTGTATTAGCATTGGTACATCTCATTTCCATGGAGATTATTTGACCCAACCCCTGTTATGGGTTATTGACTTTGAAATTGTTTGCATAGTTTGTTTACATGGCTTTGTTCTTTAATTTGCAGTTGTGGCGGTATTGTCAGTTTGCAAAGAATTTTGCTCAATCCAGTGTTAGGGGCGGTCTTAAACTTGCAGTGAGGTCAGAGGTTTTGTTCCTTGTTGAAGGCCTCCCTATGACTTTGAGATGAAGAGCAGCAATAAAGGCACTCACTCGTTCCTTTCTTTTTGTGTGTTTTTTGCTGTGCATGTACTGATTTTGTGTCATGGATGGATACCCCATGTCCTTTCTTTTCTATTAAGTTGGTCTAAAACTAACAAAAATATACGTAAATGTTGAATGGAACTGCATGTATTTCTTTCAACATTTACGTTACAAAATGTATTACAAATTGCACTTACATGTACTTAATAGGCGACAATGGGAATTTTGAAAAAAGCACCATAATGCAGTTTCCCATTTTGTAGGTATCATCTAGTATTTTCTATTGGTTCATGAAATTCTTTAGATTGACCTTTATTGTATTTGGAGAGGAGACAATTGGAAACATAGATGTGCCTGTTAAATTATCTTCTGGAAAGATTTCAGAATGCACGACACTTAAATTCTCTGAAGGAGAAAAAAATGAATGCAAATAAAATATTACATGGCATTAACCATATTCTTTATATTTTTAGATTGAAGGCTTTGTTAGAGGATTCAAGTTATCCTCCTTGACTTACAAAAGAATCATGCAGCTTCTACATGAAGAAATGAACAGTGGGTTGTCAAAGAAAACCAATCACATGGCAGATATAAAGATGTTCCCTACATTTGTACGGTCATTACCAGATGGCACAGGTAAATCTTGTTTTTGTTTATGAAGTACATTCAGTTATAAAGCAGGGCCTGCTTCATATAGTCCTTGGTAAAAGTGGGAAAATATTACCCAGATGGCCTGTTCTTATTGGATAAGTCTATTTTGTAATTACAATGTACTGACTGTTTCCAATTATAGTTTTTAACAAAGGGAAAAAATACATATGCAAGATAAACTGTATCCCTGTTTTTATAAAGCAAGTAGAATGCATGATGTATTGTCTTGGATCTGACAGTTATATTTACATTTTAAGTGCATTATACATTTATAGTTAAAATAGAAATGTAAAAAAGGTGATTACACATTAATTTCATGAAACTCTAGTACACCAAACCATCAAAGTATGTTCTATCCATAAGGTTTTTATATGCAGGGAAACAGTTTGTCCTACCAAAGTGTTATTTCCCTTTTCCAAAAATTTTATTGGAAACAGTAATAAATTTGGAAAATGGAAGTTTTGTACCGAATGGAGAAAGAATCTTCTATGAAAAAAAGGAATAGTATATTTTTATACACCCGTCAAAATTTTGACGGGACGTATTATGGTATACTAATGTCTAGCATCCGTCTGTCTGTCTGTCCGGCGTCCACATGTCGCACCATAACTTGAGAACAACCTATCCAAATTTCATGAAACTTAACATAGTTGTTTCTTATGATGGTCAAATGATCTGTATACTTTTTGGTGAAAATAAGATTAAAACTTTTTGAGTTACGGGACTTTAACTAAAACAGGGGGGTGTTTTCATACGACCGCAAAAAAATTTTTGTGGTCTTATATTGGTATGACGTTGGCGTCGTCGTCGTCGTCGTTCTCGTCGTTGTCCGGCGTCGTCCGAAGACACATTGGTTTTCGCACTCTAACTTTAGTTTAAGTGAATGGATCGCTATGAAATTTTACCACAAGGTTCAATACCACAAAAGGAAGGTTGGGATTGATTTTGGGGGTTATGGTACCAAAAGTAAAGGAATTAGGGGCCAAAAAATAAGCATTTTTGTAACTTCCAGACATAACTTGTGTGTTAGTGTATGGATCTCTCTGACATTGTACCACAAGGTTCCATATCACAAAAGGAAAGCTGGAATTGAGTTTGGGGGTAATTGCCGAAATGTTTAGGAATTGGGGGCCAAAAAGGGGCCAAAAATAAGCATTTTTCTAGTTTCCAGACAATAACTTGTGTTCAAGTGTATGGATCTCTCTGAAATTGTACTGCAAGGTACCATACCACAAAGGGAAGGCTGGGATTGATGATGGGGGTAATTACCTCAATATTTTAGGAATCAGGGGCCAAAAAGGGGCAAAAAACAAGCATTTTTCTAGTTTCAGGACAATAACTTGTGTGTAAGTGTATGGATCTTTCTGAAATTGTACTACAAGGTTCCATATCACAAAGGGAAAGCTAGGTTTGAGTTTGGGGGTAATTGCCTTAAACATTTAGGAATTTGGGTCCAAAAAACACATTTTTCTAGTTTCCAGACAATAACTTGTGTTCAAGTGTATGGATCTCTCTGAAATTGTACTGCAAGGTACCATACCACAAAGGGAAGGCTGGGATTGAGTTTGGGGGTGATGAATCATAAGGGGGTTAAAAAAAATTGGGGAGGGGGGGGGATTTTTTTTTTTCCTTTTTTTTCTTTTTTTCCTTTTTTTTTTCTTTTAAAATTTTCCATTTTAAGTTGGTTATTTCTGATTTATATTTAAAAGCAAATAATAATGATATGGTAGGAGATACACACCAAACAGGATGTGTAAATTATTATATAATAAGTATTGTGCAATAGCAAGAAATTTTCAATTACCGGGTACACAATAGCAAGAAATCTTCAATTGCACAGTATTGCGCAATAGCAAGAAATCTTCAATTGCACAGTATTGCGCAATAGCAAGAAATCTTCAATTGCACAGTATTGCGCAATAGCAAGAAATATCAAATAGCACAATATTGCGCAATAGCAAGAAATTGTCAATTGTACAGTATTGCGCAATAGCAAGAAATATTTAATTGCACAGTTTTGTGCAAAAGAAGATACTTCGTATAAATTGCTTATTTCTTGACCAATTTCAATGGGGTTTTATTCTTGAATTCCTGGGGTTCTTTAATATGCTGAATCTAACCGTGTATTAAAGTTTTTGGATTTTGGGCCCCGTTTTTAAATTGGTCCACATTGAGGTCCAAAGGGTCCAAAATTAAACTTTGTTTGATTTCATCAAAAATTGAATTATTGGGGTTCTTTGATATGCCGAATCTAACCGTGTATTTAGATTCTTAATTATTGGTTCCGTTTTCAAATTGGTCTACATTAAGGTCCAAAGGGTCCAAAATTAAACTTAGTTTGATTTTAACAAAAGTTAAAAATTGAATTCTTAGGGTTCTTTGATATGCTGAATCTAAACATGTATTTAGATTTTTTATTATGGGCCCAGTTTTCAAGTTGGTCCAAATCGGGGTCCAAAATTAAACTTTGTTTGATTTCAACAAAAATTGAATATATGGGGTTCTTTGATATGCTGAATCTAACCATGTATTTAGATTTTTGATTTTTGGGCCCCGTTATCAACTTTGTCAACATTGAGGTCAAAAGGGTCCAATATTAAACTTTGTTTGATTTCATCAAAAATTGAATTCTTGGGGTTCTTTGATATGCTGAATCTAACCATGTATTTAGATTTTGGATATTGGACCATAATAGGTATATGTCCAATTTAAAATTTTTAAGTTCTTAGACCACATTCATTCTGTGTCAGAAACCTATGCTGTGTCAAATATTTAATCACAATCCAAATGCAAAGCTGTATCAAGCTTGAATGTTGTGTCCATACTTGCCCCAACTGTTCAGGGTTCGACCTCTGCGGTCGTATCAAGCTGCGCCCTGCAGAGCATTTTATTTTCACATGTCGGGCCGTATCTCAGAAACGATTTATGATTATTGCATAAAACCTCACACACAAGACGACAGGCGTATCATGCGCTTGTGGCGCAGCTGTTTTTTATTTATTTAGAGCTCTTTAAAAATGGAGCTAATTATAATGACAACTGTCAGTTGTGACATTCTCACAGTCACTGCCACCAAATTTAGCCTTATTTAATAATCAAAACAGCACATGGCAATGTTTAAAAAACCAAAACAGCACAGTTGTCATTTAAAAATGATTGATTGTTGATACATATAATGTTGGTTTTGAATATCAGAGTAATATAAGTCAGTGTGAGAAGGTTAAATAAAAAAATATAGAAGAAGAAGAAGAAGAAGAAGAAGAAGAATTTTATTAATTATATATATATATAAAGGAGTGTTTAACACAGTCAAGTTATACCATATATCTCATGTTATTTAAAGTTTTTTCTGTATTGAAAATATACATATTTATCTAGTGATTAAAACAAGAAACTAAATGAGGTTTAATAATCAGGCCAAAATAAGAGATACATGTATATAGGATTTCCCTAGGATTTCCCTCCCAACCATATTTTTTTATTTCTGAAAGTATTTACCCCAAATTTCTAATTCAAGCTTTAAATTGTGACAAAATTTGAGGTCACCATACATACTCAAGGTTAAACAAAATTGAGCAATATAAATACAAGCTCACCTAACCAACAAGAAGAAAACCCTTAACATACATGTATTTTTGTCTGGTCTCTTCAACCAGTTAGGCATACTTTAACATGGTTAAGTTCTTAGACCACATTCATTCTGTGTCAGAAACCTATGCTGTGTCAAATATTTAATCACAATCCAAATGCAAAGCTGTATCAAGCTTGAATGTTGTGTCCATACTTGCCCCAACTGTTCAGGGTTCGACCTCTGCGGTCGTATCAAGCTGCGCCCTGCAGAGCATTTTATTTTCACATGTCGGGCCGTATCTCAGAAACGATTTATGATTATTGCATAAAACCTCACACACAAGACGACAGGCGTATCATGCGCTTGTGGCGCAGCTGTTTTTTATTTATTTAGAGCTCTTTAAAAATGGAGCTAATTATAATGACAACTGTCAGTTGTGACATTCTCACAGTCACTGCCACCAAATTTAGCCTTATTTAATAATCAAAACAGCACATGGCAATGTTTAAAAAACCAAAACAGCACAGTTGTCATTTAAAAATGATTGATTGTTGATACATATAATGTTGGTTTTGAATATCAGAGTAATATAAGTCAGTGTGAGAAGGTTAAATAAAAAAATATAGAAGAAGAAGAAGAAGAAGAAGAAGAAGAATTTTATTAATTATATATATATATAAAGGAGTGTTTAACACAGTCAAGTTATACCATATATCTCATGTTATTTAAAGTTTTTTCTGTATTGAAAATATACATATTTATCTAGTGATTAAAACAAGAAACTAAATGAGGTTTAATAATCAGGCCAAAATAAGAGATACATGTATATAGGATTTCCCTAGGATTTCCCTCCCAACCATATTTTTTTATTTCTGAAAGTATTTACCCCAAATTTCTAATTCAAGCTTTAAATTGTGACAAAATTTGAGGTCACCATACATACTCAAGGTTAAACAAAATTGAGCAATATAAATACAAGCTCACCTAACCAACAAGAAGAAAACCCTTAACATACATGTATTTTTGTCTGGTCTCTTCAACCAGTTAGGCATACTTTAACATGGTGTACATGTATATCCTTGTCTAGAAACTATTACACAGAGAATTGTATTTTATTTCAGTTGGGTCTCAAATTATGTTGTATTTTGTAATTAGTCAATTATGCGTATCATATAAATAAACTGTTTAACTGTCTATTATATAATTACACCATTGGTGGTGTATGTAATGTTTATAATATATGAATATAAGTAAATGAACCGGCCTTTTGTGATACTAAATTTCTTAATTTCTATATTTACTATAGTTACATACTCTTCCTGGTTGTACAGACATCTTACTTTAAAGGAATCACATGACTCTTTGTATTTGATAATCCATCACAACTGGGTTTTGAATGATTTATAAAAAAAAA